CTGACATTATTAAACTAACCTTCAATAAAAGATAAGATAATGAAAGGAAAATTTCTGATTAAAATTGTTGTCTTCATCCAAGATGTGAGCTATGAATTCAATATGTCAAAATCAACTAAGTACAGGAATTTAAATATCGAGGAAGTATTTTAACAGATAATGAAAAATGTGACATTGACATCCAAAGGTGAATTGGAATAGTGAAAATTGCCATTCAAAAGCTAAGCAAAGTATTAAGAAACAGGAAAATTTTATTAGAAACAAAGAAAAAAGTGCTGAATTTCTATATAATATCACTCCTCTTATATGGCAGTAAATGTGGGATAATTACTTCACAAATGAAGAAAAGACTTGAGTCAACAGAAATGTGACTTTAAAAAAGAATTCTGAGAATACCACATTTGTTGATTGATTTCTTTTGTTTTACAGCTTATCAACCCTAAAATGTAGTTTTGGGATTGTAAAAATAATTCTTTTATTGTGATCAAATATTGCATGAAAAAGTTTTGGGAGATAATAATTTTTCTAGATAAAGTACTATTATTTAACCCATACCTGGGGTAAGAAGAGAGAGATTCATATTTTTTCCAAGTGAATAATGAACATGACTGGAATTTGGCCCTTCAATTTCTCATTCCAAGTCACTATCCATTACACGACCCATGCTTGACTGCATTCCCTGAGTTTTTTTTTTACTACTACTGCTGTTGAAGCCTTACTGCCATTTCTCTTTCTTTATTTATTAATAGCTCCCATTTAGTATTTATTACTATGTTAGACCTACATAACCTTACATATGTGTGATTTTTTTCAGATGTTTTACTCTTTTCTGTCTAGTATTTTTACTTCATTCTAAAAGGGTTGATAGCAACCTTTCCATACAGGTCCAGCCATACCTGATTTTCTTGTTTATTGCTTCTATCAGGAAATTGTTTGAAGCTGATTTGAATGGCAAATTGTCCACTGTCAAAAATATATTGTAAATGAAAAAATATATGTATACACTTTTATACTGTTATATATAGTGTGTATGTGTTTGTGTACTTTAGTCATTAAAGATCAGACAACTAAATTTATGATAATTACCAAATTTAGATTTGTAAAGTGTAACACTAAATAGGAATAACAAAAACTGTGTTATGCCACTCTTCCAACTGGGAGGGGGGGATGTGTCTACCTAGGAAATCGGCATTCAAAATACTGGATTTTACTTGGACTCAAACATTAGTATAGGAAGGAAATATACAATTATCTCAATTATAAAGTATATTTCTCATATTGCCATAGTTAGGTACAAGGTCAAAAGAGTGGAGCATTCTGTGAGGAATGAATTCTTTACAGTAAGTGAATAATCAAGCTTACTAAAAATGACTCTAGGACAGGTGTTCATGCTATGCATTGCCTGATAATCAGAAATGATTTTGATTTTGAGTGATTCCAGCTGTTCTCACAACATAAAAGCTTTATTATAAAAAATCTTTAACAATGAACGTTTTGATAACAATAAAATTATTCAACAATTTGATGTTTTCTTAGCTTATTTAACAATACATACAACAGTTACATTTTGCTTACATTTATTCCTGACCACTAACAATGCTTTTCTTCCTGATTTTCATTGCATTCCTATAGTAAAATCATTAGAATTGTATATATGTTATATGTATAATAGTCCTATTCTATCAGTAATGCTTGCATTCATTCCTGACCAATGACAATTCTTTTTGATATGCAATGCATTCTTATTGTAAAATTTGCTTTTATTTTTCTGTCTTTCTCCAGGTTCCTCATACTACCCAAATGTTTAAATTTGGATTTGTCTGTCTACAATACATTTTGTGAAAATATTAGTATTTTGTATGGGAAACATTATATTTTGTTTACACCATTTACCATTCAGTAGACTTTTTGAGATTACCAAAAGGGCTGGAGATTTGATTCAGATCAAGGGAATCATGAACAATAGCATTTGATTTTGCAAAGACATGCTATACCATCTAGTTTATGCATAATTGGAAAAAAAAATTTCAATGACGATCTAAAACACTCTTCTAAATTATGACAAAATTACCTTGAACCAAAAAAAAATTTTTAAACTATGATTTGCCAGCTTCAATCTCCTGACCTCTCTCCCATTAAATTAGTATGGGATGAATTGGATAGGAGAGTTCAAAGAGAATATCCAAAGAGTGAGAGTGAGCTTTTTCAGTTGCTGAAGAATGCTTTGGAAGGTCTGCCATCTACTTTTTTTCGAAAACTGTTAGAAAGAGTGTCAAGAGTTTGTAAAGTAGTAATTAAGACAGGTGCTGATTTTATTGATGAAAACAAAATATGATACAGTTGTATGATAATTTTTTTTATACTTAAGTGCTTATTGTTGTCAAAATAAAAGCAAATACACAGTAGTTACTGAAATTTTACCTTTTACTTCAAAAAATATTAAAATATTTCATTTTCTGGTGTTTTTTAAAAAATTGTAGGGTGGCTCCAGTTGGGTTTGTTATATTCCCTTGTGCACAAATACCCTTAGGGAAAGGCATGAATCTGTTTCTTCCCTCCCCAGCTATGCGTTGAATACTAGGACAGACTGGGCCACTCAGCCTTGATTGGCAGTCACTCTAGGGGAAAGACAAAATCTGAGGAGGGCTGTTTGGAGACCTGGTGGCACACTATGGGTATTCAGTTCTTCAAAAAAAAGTGTGGAGGGTTCTGTACAAGCACTTAAATCATATGTGGCAGATAGTGTGGCTGTTCAGTTCTAGGAGTTGAATTGTTGAACCCTCACATGTTCAATATATATATATATATATTAATAAAAGAAGCGATAAGAGGAAAACCATTTATGCTGAGATGTTTCATTCCTTGAGGCACTTCATTAAAGGCAAGATAAAGTTCCTCAAAGAATGAAACACACCTTAAAAAGTTTTCTTTTTGTCATTTCTTTTATTAATATTGTTTTTGTAGATATATTTATTTACATCTGAATATATATATATATATATATATATATATATATATATAATAATGGACTCTCATGTCAGTTTCAATGCATGAGGATCTGACAATTTAATTAATTCAGTTATGAAATTTTGTGCAATAATCTTAAGTGACACTTAAGACCTGCTAGTGATTTACAAAGGAGGCCACATATGGAGCAAGAGTAGGGATTGTGGGATGAGATCACTGTTAGTTTGGCTGACCTTTTAGATCTTGCTCTCGCTTCTTGAAGACAATTCAGACAAGCTGATTTAAAACTGCTGAGTCCACAAAAACATGTTGATCTCCATTCTACCCACTCCAAGGCTAAGCGCTCGAGGGTATTATGAGGTATATTGACAGTTGACAAGTTGCTCTTCATCTTGTCTTTGTATCTTAGCCATGGGTGTCCTACATTCCTGTAGCCCTGATCTAACTGGCTGTACATTAGGATCTTGGGTATCTTATCATCAGACCTTCTTAAGACATGACCAGTCCACCATAACTGAGAATGTATGAGAAAAGTCTTGATTCCTTCAATATTACACCTGTTAAACAGGTCTACGTTAAATGTCCTGCCTTGAAGGTTAACTCCACAGATGGCATGCAGACAGCTTTTATGGAAAATATCCAGCTGGCATATATAGTACTTGTATTGAGTCCACAATTCTGAGTTGTACAAAAGGATGGCAGGGACAACAGCTCTGTAAACCCAAATTTTTGTATCCAGTTGAATACCCTGCTCATTCTACAAGTGATGGTGAATTTTGCGAAAAGCACTAGTAGCCTTAGCAATCCGATGCATGATTTCATCATCTAACATTCCACTATAGTTGTAGTTGACTTTGGTACCAAGATAGGTGAAAGACTTTACATAGTTCAGGGCTTTGTCTTCTACATTCAATGGTCCTTCTGGAAATTTGTAGACTGGTGGTTTTTGTTTCTCACCAAAGAATTGCTTCGGAGTAGGACAAGGTTGGTGCACTATTTCAGTTTTCTTTATGCTAAATGTAAGACCAAAGGCTTTACATGCAGCAGAGAAACAATTTATTAAATGTTGGGCCTCCTCAAAGGATGTCACAACAAGAGCAGCAGCATCAGCAAACAACAAATCACAAATAATATGGATGGTGGTTTAATGCTTAGTTTGTTATATTCACTTTTGTGCAAAATACCTTTGAGAATAGTATGAATCTATCACTTCCTCTCTCTCCTGCTAAAGGTAAAATAGTGGAGCAGACTGGGCTCTTCAGCTTTGGTTGTCAACCTTTCTAGGAAAAGGACAATTCTGAATTCAAAATTATGTGTCTAGCAGCTCCACCCAATAATAAACCTATTTGCTATGAAAACCACAGCTTCAACACCTAGTGTAGTGGGGCTGTGGCCCTAGTGTGGTGAAGCTGTGGCCCCATACTCCACTGTTGGAATGTATGTTTTTTTGACTGATTGATTTGTTTTATTCCCTCTTAATTGACTATTAGTGATTTATTTAAAGCCAAATCATATTTCAGATTTTAAAAGGTTGCCTACAGTACTCTGTGATCTCCCAGTATATATGAGGGAGAATGTTTCTGACACACTTCTCAAAATAAATATTCTGGTATTTGATCATTGGAATATTGATTTTGGTAATTGGATCTGGTTGATAACTTTGCAGCACCCCCTACAATAACTTACTCATAGACAACTTTGTGGTCAAAGAAATGAAACAATATCTAGTTATATTATTAAGTCATGAATTTTTAATTTAAAAAAGGTATCTATTATTTGGGGATAAATACAATCTTAAAGTAATAATTATGAGTAAGTATGCTGAAATTGATGTAAAAGTGAAGAATAAACTGAATTTTTCAATAATTACCTTGTTTCTATAAATTTCCAAAAAAAGTTCAGATTATAAATCTAGGTGAAAAAGTATCATAACTTAAGAACAGGTATTTTTTTTTTAAATTATCAAAGCACCTTTGCTGGGAAGAGTAGCTTCCCTCTGCCTCTGCTTGGAACGGCCCCGATGGCGGCGTATCATGGCGCAAAGTTGTAAACGCGATGACGTCCGTGTATGTCGAGTTTTGATACGGCCTGACGATGATAAACTCTCTCCGGGAAGATATTGGACAAGGTACGTTTGAAGATGTAGATATTTATTTGTTTTGATTTTCATAGGTTTCTATTTGTTTAAATGTCTCTCTTAAATGTTTTTATGAGTTCAGAAAGGAACGTGTCTCTCGAGTTAAACAGTTACTGTTAGTAAGTCGAACCATACATATCAAATTTTTTTTTTTTGCTTCTTCTACGGTTGTTGGTTAAGCTTATTAGATGAATTCTTTCTTTCTTTAAGCTTTTTAAAAGTTTATATTTATTTTACTCGATATAAATGATTATTGCCAACGATTTCACTGTATTTATTATTATTTACTGTCTATTCGTAGTCGTTAGTCCACATAGCTTCTTAAAGTCGTTTTGCGTTCTCATGGAATTGTCTTTAAAAATAAATATAGACGTTTTCGTTTTGCTTTGTTATTTTCTATATTTCTGTTTATACTGTATTTTTCCTGGCTCTTTCCCCCCTTTTTTTATTTTGCCAAAGAAACATCAGACTAAATCGTTGTTTTTATTTAATTTTTGCTAGTGTTACTGTTCACGCTTTTCTTGTTGTCAGTATCCAGGGTCGGTCGTTCATTAGAAAGATGACTTGTCTGATGACCCCCCCCCCTCACCGATGTTTTAAGAAAACAAATGGCAAATTAAACAGACTGAACTTTAATAAGAAATTTGAAAAATAATAACTTGAAACATGTTCCCGGATTTTCGTGACGTTTTTAAGGAAACGTGTTTGATCATGTGACTACTTTATCGTAAACCGTACTAAAGCAAAACAAAAGAAAATGTTTTTTTTTCTTCTATGAATCTGTTTTTTATAAACTATAAAAATGTTTTTGTTTTTTAATTATTCTTTACATCAGCATGTAATGTACAATATTAAAGTAAAAATAACAGTTTAAATGACATTTTCGCGATATAAGGCTGGTCAAAAAAAAAAAAACTAGTGAAATGAACAAATTACTAAAAAAGAATCAGAGTTGAGACTGCTATGAAATATTTGGTTGGACATGACTCGCTTTCATTTCGTTTCTTCTCTTTTTAAATCAAAACTAAACTAAACACTTTATTAAATTGAGACGAATTTTCTTTCTAGATCATCTATTTTCTTTCTTCATCTCTCAATTTTTGGACACTTGTGATGTTGTTTTTAGCAATTACAATTTTTCTCCCAAACATGTTGTATAGAGATGATGATTCTTTTTCTGACGAAGATTGAAATTAAGTGAAGCCAACAAGATTGACCTATTTTTTCCGTTACGGATGGCCAGTCAGTCAAATGTTTACACTTAAAAAATGATTATCACCTATTTAATTTTTTTCCCTTTTTGTAGGTACATATTTTATTTTAAGGTCTTTTCTTTTTTTTAATCTGGTCATTTTTTTTTTTGGTATTTTTTTATTTCTCACAGATTCATTTTATCTTCGTTTTTCACTTTTATTTCTCCAGATTTCTTAAATTTATATTTCAATCAAACCCTTATTTTCTTCTTCGCCTTATGTACACAGTACACAAAGCTTGTTTTTATTTTTTTTTTTTTTTTAATTTAAAGTGAATTATTGCCCCCGCACCATAAAAGGGGGGGGGAAGCAACGGTACTTGCAAAAAGAAAAAAAATAGTTGATTTCGTTTTTTCTTTTGCGTAAAAATGGCAAAGGTTTCGATCGAATCTATGGAAATACTTTAAAAAATTTTTTCTTTCCTTAGAATTTGTCAGATGTGTTGATTTTGTTGAAATTAACATAGCGAATTCCAATAAATTGTGTATTCTGTATTCATCTTGTTGAGAAATTAAAAACGTTGAAATGGATTTTTATTTTTATCTCATAAATAATTTAAATAGCTAAAAAAATAATACTGAATTATTAAAATTACACAACAAACAAGACTTAAATTATTGTTGCCTAAAAAAACAACTAAAAATCTGCAACATAAAAACAAGTAACAACTATTTAAAAAAAACGCCCTTCTATTAAGTTTTTTTTTTTTTTATCATTTTTAAACATAAAAACATCGTAATTATTTTTTTTTTTTTTTTTTTTTTTTTAACTAAATAAAATTTAATTAACAATCTTTTTAAAGTTTCACTGTCACGCATTTGTGGGATATTAATTTTCATTTTTCCTTTTAAGTTTTAAGATAAAAATTAAAATATATATAAAAAAGTAAAAATAAAATAGACAAGAAAGAAAAAATTAAAAAAAAAACTGCTAAAAATCTTTATTTTGTGATGATTATTACATGTGGCAAGTTTGTTTCTTTCTCTGATAATTTTGTTCCTGATCAGTTTCATTTCTGCAAAATTATTATTATTCTGACAAGTTTTAAACTTGAAACTTAATGTCACTTCTGGAAGAAAAGGCAGTGATGATTTCGTAAATTTAACTTTTCTCTCTTCAATGATTTTTTTTCTCTTCCTTTTTATTTTCTTTTGTCGCTTTGTATTGTTTTCCTAATTTCAAAATATTATCAATAAATTAGCATTTTTAGTCCTATTGATTACCATATAAAACTGCTTTAACAAAAATGAATAAAAAAAAAAAAAGTATAAAATTAACTACTCAGCAAAAACGAACTTTATGTAAAGTCGAATGTTTTGGTTTGTGTAATACTTCTTTCAGCCCAAATATGAACCACTTTTTGCTTACATAAGCAATTTTATATTCTACATTTTGCCACAAGTGAACATTCCATTTCCATATGTCTCTAGTTTTAAAGAAAAAAAGCAAACAAAAACGGATCCTTAATTTTATTACAAAATTACTGAGTTTCTTCATTTGAAAAGCTAAAAATATGAATTTCAGTTTTCTGTCAAAGATAGAAACCGATTTTTATAAAACATTTTTAAAAGTAAAAAGAAAATATCAACAATGTTGCATTTTTGTTGTCCGAATTCATTACTTAGATTTTTCTGAAATTTTTTTCTTCTTAATTTCCATTTTCACACGCATTCAACTAATTTTTTGTGTGTATTTTAGAAAAAAAAAGTTTTTATTTTAGTTGTTTAAATTAAAACTGCTGATTGTTTTTTTTAATCTGGCTATTAGTATTTTTAAGGAAGTCTTTTTGTTTTAAAGCCTTTGACAACATTTTCAAAGTGGAAGTGGGGGCTAAAAATAAAGGGAGTCTTTGAAATTGATTTTTTTTTTTTTTTTTTTTTTTTTTTAAACGAAAACTCTTTAAGTCTAACTAATTGATCGATTTCTAAGTTCGTACCACAAAAACTCCAACCTACGGAGGCCTCGTCATGTGACTATCAATGTCGCTTTCTTTTGAAGTTTGTTTCCCTACTTCGAAGTTAAAATTTAGCTAGTGCTAGAGAGTGTCCCCCCGCTTTTTTGTTTTTATTTTTTATTTTTTTAAGTCTGTAAAGAAAGACATAGAGACAGTCAAATTTACTGTCGCTATTTTAAAAAGAAAACTAATACTTTTGCAGACAATAACTGACATATTCATAATTTCAAATTCTTTCTCGAATTATTTTAGTTTTCGAAGTTCTTTTGAAAATTCAAGGTTCTGACCTTAAGGACCTTGTTGCAAATTCGTAAGGTAAACCACAAAAAATAGTTTTTGAATTTTAAAGATAAATTTCTGTTTAGAAAAGATTTTATAAGGGTTTTTTTTTTTTTTTTTTTTTTTTTTATTGGTTACGGAGTTGACAAGTTTGACATTTGTTGAATATCTCCCAAACAAACCAACACTTTCTTTTCTTAAACACATTTGTTCAGTTCGCCTTGACACTCCACCCTCACCTTTACATAAAAATAAACTTTATCGTGTTTGTGTTAATAGGCAGTTCACACGTCACCCTATTAATTAAACTGTAAAAAGTTGCACTTTTTGTAAAGTGCGTTTTGGAACGGAAATAACTTTAAACAGAATAATGAAGAAAAAAAAGGAATGTGATGTTGACATACTGGTTGTTCTAAAATGAAAAATAAATGAAATTGATTAAAGCAACATGACTAGCATATTTGTTAGTTTGCAAAAAGCTAAAATGAATACTGAGTAAATAGAGAAGAAAACCTAATTTTAAAAATGAAAAATCTTACTTGAAGTTTTTAGTTTTAATTTCAAGCTAATTAAATTTAATATTTCCAATAAGTAAATATTTGTATTTTTTGCTGTATTTCAAAACGAATTTAAATTGATTGGAATGAAGACTTTCAAAAATAAAATCAACTTTTCTGAAATGTTGAGGAAGATTAATATGATTTGAAACAAAATATTACTTTTAGTTATTAAAAATATTGCAGAAAAACATTTTTGAAAATGGACGTGGGTGCTTTTATGCGGTGTTGACAATTATTGTGATAGACTTATTATGTTTGAGAATTTTTCTATAGGGTACATAACTGTAAAAATTACTTTAATATAATATGAGTGCTTTTTTATATAATTTAAAATTTAGGAAAATATTGTAAGTAGTTTAATATTTTATTGAATTTTAAGTACTTTGGTTTTAAATGATCATGTATGGGCATGTGTATTTACAGATTTTGGCACATTTATACATGCACAAAAAATTAATTCTTTTTAAAATACTGGGTGTAGCAGAATTGTAAGCATTTTCAATTAATAATTAGTGAATATAATTTTTACTTAATAATATCACCTAACTGCTACTAATTAATACAGGATTTTTAAAGATGTAAAAATTTTATAAATATCATTCTAAATGAAAACAATTCTTATAAAAATTAATTATTCATTGGAACTTTTTAAGACAAGTGTCCTTAATACATCTTATTCATAAAAGCAATTAAAAGCTTTTCTAATTATTTTGAATGCATTTTTTATTTTACAATTCAAAGCAGATTTTCTGTAACTGGGCATCCTGCTTAAAAAAAAAAAATTAATTTCTCCAAGGATGTATGCTTATAACTTTTATAAACATTAAGTCTCAATTTCATAAAATTATATAAGCGGAGGTGGGGTAACAGCTGTTAAAAAATTCTAAAATAAATTCATTCATTTGTGAATATATCCTGAAAGTTTCATTAAAATCAGAAACTTTA